TCCTGATTCCAAGCCTTGAGCTCTACCCCGGGCCCAGGAGTTCTGGCCCTAACAGGTAAGTTTTTGGGGTATGTAGCCTAGGCCTTTGGCCATAGGGAATAATGTCACTGACAGCCGTCTAACGTCCCAGGGGCAACTCCCATGGCAATATGGTAGAGTTGGTACTTAGTGCTCGCCATGGTTTCTGGCATGCACTCCCCTCAGCATGGTGGCGTGGGTATACTGTTCCCCATAGCGACCCCTAGAGGACGCAGTTTGAAGTTCCCATGAAAGGGAACGTCTCAGGTTATGTATGTGTAACAATGGTTCCCTGAGTAGGGAACGAGACACTGCGTCCTCTAGATTTCTTGCCATGCTTCGGATGCAAGCTTCAGATGAAGAAGTGGATGATGTGTTCTCCCGGCGCCTATTTATACTATAGTCGCACCGGTAGTGACGTCATGGCTGTCGCCGGCCAACGTGTTGTTGGTGTTTTTTCAATGTATGCTTCAGACACGGGTCACGACGAGGCGTTCCCCGTAGTGTCTCGTTCCCTACTCAGGGAACCATGGTTACATACGTAACCTGAGACGTTTTGGATTAAACTATTTTTAGAGTTTACACTGAAAAAATGCTGTTTTATAAGAGAAGTCACAGACTTTTTGCGACAGGTGGGATTCAGCTTACAGCACTTCTCATTCATTCCTATAGTATCCCTAAACATTTATTTTGTGTCGCTCAACTCTGACTGAAATTCAGTGACGTCAAGGCTATAGGTGTGTTCGACCACATGCGGCGCTGCACAGACCGATCGGCGAGAGTAGCCGCTTGCTGGTTATATATGCTTTTATCAGTGTTTTTTGATAAACTTGACTCAATATAACATTGCAACTACAGTAAAAGAGACAATCACTGCATCTGAAATCACATACTTCCCTACTATATAGTAGGTGAAAAACAGTATGTGAGGCGAGTAGTATGTCCGAATTCATAGTATTCGAAAAACAGTAGGATGACTTACTACTTCTGCCCAGATTCTGAAGTACACAATTGATGGACACTTTACTATCCCATGAGGCCACAGGAGAGGATTTATGAATAGGCTCGTTTGAGATGCGGCTAGCCTCACCTGAAATGTAGGCGAGAGTAGGAGGCTGCAGTGAGGGGAGGAGTGAAATAAGCGCAGTCAAGACGGACCGCCTCTGTGTCTCTCCGCATCACCGTAGCGCCATTTTGGAGAATATCCACTGAACGCAAGCAGCGTACACGCTTCTGTGTCAGCCGCACCACACGGATGCGCTGTTTTCATTCAAATCAAAGCGTAAATACACGTAGAAAACGTATCATTGTGTCGCGGCTGACACAGAATAGCGTACGCAGTCTGCATACAACTGGCTGAGGGCTGAAATATGCTAATACGGGCAGCGGCAGTGGACGGGGCTTGAGCAATATGACGTCATATAGCTCAGGAAAAACAAAACAGATTGATATTTGAAACTGTTTGGGTTTTTTGGGGATTAAAAAGAAAAAGAAGTGAATGGATTTTTATCATCGTAGGGTGGTTGTGTTCATACACTGCCAATACACATTTATATGCAAACACCGTGTTAAAGTGAGTTTTGCATCTGATGTCCCCTTTAACCTCCTTGGTGATTATAAGGCTTGTTGTCTGGAAAATGTTTAAACTGTTTAACTGGTATCACAAAATCTACACAGAACTTGCACTTCCCAATGAGTACAGAGAAAACAACCATATTCTCTGGAGACCAAAGTCTCACCACCTTGGTTACAGGCTTACTTGACTTCAGCGAAGTATGGTATATAGGAATAAGCTGCACTGAATTATGGTCAGAATTTGCCAGTGGTGGTTTAACTTTAGCAATATACAGGTGCATCTCAATAAATTAGAATGTCGTGGAAAAGTTCATTTATTTCAGTAATTCAACTCAAATTGTGAAACTCGTGTATTAAATAAATTCAATGCACACAGACTGAAGTAGTTTAAGTCTTTGGTTCTTTTAATTGTGATGATTTTGGATCACATTTCACAAAAACCCACCAATTCACTATCTCAACAAATTAGAATATGGTGACATGCCAATCAGCTAATCAACTCAAAACACCTGCAAAGGTTTCCTGAGCCTTCAAAATCGTCTCTCAGTTTGGTTCACTAGGCTAAACAATCATGGGGAAGATTGCTGATCTGACAGTTGTCCAGAAGACAATCATTGACACCCTTCACAAGGAGGGTAAGCCACAAACATTCATTGCCAAAGAAGCTGGCTGTTCACAGAGTGTTGTATCCAAGCATGTTAACAGAAAGTTGAGTGTAAGGAAAAAGGTGTGGAAGGAAAAGGTGTGGAAGAAAAAGGTGTGGAAGAAAAAGATGCACAACCAACCGAGAGAACCGCAGCCTTATGAGGATTGTCAAGCAAAATCGATTCAAGAATTTGAGTGAACTTCACAAGGAATGGACTGAGGCTGGGATCAAGGCATCAAGAGCCACCACACACAGACGTGTCAAGGAACTTAGCTACAGTTGTTGTATTCCTCTTGTTAAGCCACTCCTGAACCACAGACGACGTCAGAGGCGTCTTACCTGGGCTAAAGAGAAGAAGAACTGGACTGTTGCCCAATGGTCCAAATGCTGATTTCATTTTCTAGCAGGATTTGGCACCTGCCCACACTGCCAAAAGCACCAAAAGTTGGTTAAATGACCATGGTGTTGGTGTGCTTGACTGGCCAGCAAACTCACCAGACCGGTATTGTCAAGAGGAAAATGACAAAAAATGCAGATGAGCTGAAGGCCACTGTCAAAGAAACCTGGGCTTCCATACCACCTCAGCAGTGCCACAAACTGATCACCTCCATGCCACGCCGAATTGAGGCACTAATTAAAGCAAAAGGAGCCCCTACCAAGTATTGAGTACATGTACAGTAAATGAACATACTTTCCAGAAGGCCAACAATTCACTAAAAATGTTTTTTTTTATTGGTCTTATGAAGTATTCTAATTTGTTGAGATTACCAAAGACTTAAACTACTTCAGTCTGTGTGCATTGAATTTATTTAATACACGAGTTTCACAATTTGAGTTGAATTACTGAAATAAATGAACTTTGCCATGACATTCTAATTTATTGAGATGCACCTGTATGCATTGGATATGTCCCTATAACACTTATTAGTGCAAAATATTAGTATTTCTTGTGTTACAGCTGACATCCTGTTGAAAACCAGGAAGAAACTGTTGAAGATAACAGTGGTTCATATTACCTAAAAAAAGAAAAAAGAAAGAAAATACCTAAAACAATTTAAAAATTCTGCTATGGGAACACCTTCAGTGTGTGCCAGGTCTGAAGCACTTGTAAAAACACACCAATTCTATTGGCCGAGGCAGTCATGTGACATTCACAAGTGAGCACTCAGCATGCTGACATAACTATATACAGCATATGGATCTCTTCTCTGGGAACCAGGGTTACATACATAACTCCTCTTCATTGTATGGGAACTCAATGCTGCATTAATTGCTGATGATATAAGAATGATAATACCCACTACACCATACTGAAAAAATGCCTGCACTCAAGCTGTGATAAAAACCACAAGTGAGCAACCATGCAACAACCCAGGACCAAATTTCCAGCTGAATAGGCACTCTTTGTCTTCCTCGGGAGAGCCCGCTCAATCCCCTGCCAGAGGCACCACTATGCACTCGATTTTTAATAAGTTTTAATAAGAGTCTGTTGTCAATTTGTCAATCTTTTTTTTTTTTATTCAGTGAAAGATAAAGAGGAGGATCGGGTCAATGCTGGGGCCCGCACAATGAAAGATGGAGAATTTGGAGAGTACAGGTAAGTGCAGTTAGCCATTTACGTCACATTACTGTGTATTTACACAAGTAGCTCTGACATTTATAAGAGAGTGATTATAGAATTTTTGGAGAGATTT